TCTTTACGTATTGTTCAGGCTATAAATAGGCTCTTTTCAAAAGTTACGCGAAAAATACGCACAATCGTCGCCTACCTCGCAAAACTGGTTCCAAACGACAACAAAGGCATAAGCAACGATGGATTGTTGAACTTTGCTGGTGTAGTGCTGCTGAAAAAAGATAAGTCTATTATTTTGGTTAGTGATCGTTTGGATTTGGGTCACCCCACGTTGTGTTTAGGTTAGTATAAATAAATAATACTATTTAGTCATATAAATCACCACAGCTCATTATCTTCAGCGTTATCGGTTTTCGTTTCTGGATCTTTAGTTGCCTCTGTGATATACTTACTTGCGGCATACTATTTTGGGAGTGTATATGAGCGTGTACCATGTACGGTAGCTCATCTCTCATCGTGATGGTGGGACATAGTAGACACATTAGAGAGAAAACAAGGAGGTATTAGTATTAGTTATATGTAAACAAACAAAACAAAAGAAGAGAAGAGGAAAGAAGAGCAAACAAATAAAAAAGGGATGAAGTAGATAACAAATAAAAGAAACGTAGGCAGATTATTAGAAAAGGCATTATCCGAGACTCGGCAATCAAATGTCACTCCCGCCGAGATCTCAGCGAAACCCCCTCCCCGCCGAGACCCACACAGCCGAGCTCGGTAGAAAAAACTAAGTGTGTAGATAGATTAGTAGGAAAATAAATAAAACTACTTTATGACTCAAAGTGCAATGAATGAGCGTTAGTTTCGGGATCATTTCAGTGTTAGAGTTATGTTAGTTTTGATCCGTAATCAGCCCTGCCGACCCCTCCAACATTAGTTGCAGGCAGTGGTTGTTAGATAATGTGGCACTGTAACTACTACTATTTTAGAGGTATGATTCGTCAAGTTTATACAACTCAATGTTTCAATTGAGGCAAACTATCTATCTTACAATTACAAAAGCAAACCGAAACTTACAATTATATGCAAATGCAAAATGAAACTTGACAAATCATCGTCAATCCCCTTATTACAGGGCAGGGCCTGACGATTTGAATCTAATTTAATTTTGATCAGTGAACGGGCACCATATGGTAATTTTTTTTAACATGAACCTATCATTTCCAGCCTATCTGAACTATTTAATAAATGGAAGCCATAACATGGGTTACGCTCTCCCTAAGCGGGCCCTCCGCATCCTGTCTCTGTCTTATCTCAAATACAAAATGCCAATGTTATGAATGTATCTATATATATTGGTCAGGCTTCAGAATCGTCCAGTGGGCAGTGCGCTCTACACTCCAAGTTACCTTTTTTCAAATTTACCGCAAATTTGATATTTTACCCATTGAGTGTTGATTAGTCACAATGAAACATTGTGACAGAAGTTGAGGTTACTAGTGTTATTAAATAATCTAGGTCCTATTTAGGATTATATCTGAAAAATCCAAATCTGGCCAACGCCCACCCTAAACCTAAACCTGTTCTAATCCACCTGAAATGACTAACGTATGGAAGACTTTGACTACCCATCCATGCAATAGTCTCATTCCGTGCCTTATGACAACTTGATGATTCTATTGCGCTCATCTTTTGGCACCACCCAGGGGAGACTTGGTCCTGTACCCAATGCTTAACTTATCTCCATTCCACTCAGCTACTCGCAATTTCTTGTGATATAGTGGGCGGAATATTATTATATGAGACAATTCAATGCAGACGTCTTTCCAAATTTGGCAGATCGACAGGTAATCGGTGAGTTACCACGATAGTTGCTATTCAACAACTCGACAACGTCCCATCGTCAACGCCTTCTATGAGAATTTCCCATTGCAGGCGCCAACGAAATGACGTCATCGAGCTATCGATCAACTACCCTGGTTATCGCCTGGTACCTTATAGCACGATGCTAGGAGGCGAACCGGAAGAATCGATGAGCTACCTCCCCCTGATCAAGTCAGTTCAATTCAATTGGCTTGAAAAGTTGAGTCTGGTTCAACTTTTTTTCAATTCAAGTGAGTTGATCAAGTCAGTTGAATTGCATGGTTTACACGTTCAATTCTCGTTCAAGTCAGTTGAATTCAACTGACTTGATCAATTGACTTACCCTATCTAAACCCAGCTTAAGTGTTAAGCAGCGGAGAAGAGAAGACAGACACACACCCAGAAATAACGAAAACTCTGTAGCCATCGCTCCGACGGCTCCTACTCAAAGAGCTCCACTCAGCGTAGGGTTGCAGATGAGAAACCCAGCAAAAAGGCATCTCCTATACAAGCAAAGTCTGCAAAGTTCTCAAAGAAGACATTAGCGCTTGTTGTATTATATTCGCTCCATGCGCCGCACGGAGTGTACCGCTCATTGTGTGGATCGCTTTCTCAAAGATTAGTTCGAAAAGAGTGTGCGAAGAAAATGGGAGAACCACACACGCTCTTTGTGGAGTGTTGTGAGATGCATGCACAAAGTTGCTTTGCAAATGCTCTGAGGCGCTTTCCAGCCCTGCTGCCAATGATTTGTCGATTCCCTAAATTCTCAACAGAAGCTGTTAAGAACGCTTTGCAAAGTGTTTTCTTTACAGAATGCCTATGGAATAACGCTCTGCCAATTACTAATGCAATGAAATTAATCTCGTGGAGAAGCTGCTAGGAATACCTCCCCTTGAATTCGCTCCATTGCCTTTTCGAGCTTGGTGGGGTAAATTTTTGCCACCTACTCACTACGTCCCAGGCTGTGTTTAACCCATGATCTTGGAATTGAAGAAACACACACACTCAGAATGTTTTAATGTGCTCGGATTACAATGTAAAACTAAAATCAAACAGTAACTTGTTACAGACATAATCACCAAAGGTGAAGAGCTATCGGGCTAAATCAATTGAAATATAAAATAATTGTAAACCACAAGACAATAAGTAAATAAACGAACATTTTAGTAGAAGTTGTCGTCATCGGTAATGCTTTATCGAAATTTTAACAGTTGAACGTTCGGTAAAACTTTGATCTTGATGTTAACGCTTGTTTAACTCAAAACTAATTTCAAAACACGTTCAATCTTGTTCAAATTATTACATATTATAATGGTAGGGGAGATTTCGTTTCAAATTAGCTTTAACACAATTGAAAAATTACCGATGTCGGGGAAAAATTCTAATTTTGAGTAGCAAATTCAATAGACAATTGAACTTGCTGTTTTCAATTAACCGTCGTGTAAAATCTCCATTCGTTTAGTTTTGTACTTAATCTGGCATGACCTTTGATTTTTTTACAAACTACAATTCAACATTGCTGATTTATGGAATTTGGCGCTTACATTTATTCAAAATATAGTTTGAACGTATATCATATCTAGCGTTAATAACGTGTGCAATATACAGATATCCATAAAATAAAAAAAAATACAAGCGATGCATGGTTAAACATCGTGAATCTTGAAATCCATCTGTGAAGCGTCAAAAGAAAAGAACTCAAACAAAATACCTCCTAATTTAGTTGTTATATTGCATCCAAGCCACCTTGACGATATATGATGCAACATTGCCGAACAAATTTGAGCAAAACCTACATAAATCCATCCTCTGCAATCACCCTTCAGAGAAAGAGAGAGAGGGAGAGCATCCATTGTTTACGAATAAGGAAAGCGAAACAATCGACACTCATTAGTAGGAAGCCCGGTATCTACAGAAGACACGCACCCATAAAACAGCGATCAGCAACAACAACATAAACAGTGCTCTACACTCCCTTCTTCCCCTCTCCACAATCCATCCCACGACGATACCTTCCGCAAAAACAAACCACAAACACACTGCCTTCGGTTAGGTAGGTAGGTACATAAATTGACGATGATGATCGCTGGGGCTGGATTGGATGCTAGTAGGTCTACCACCCAATCTTGCCCTCCCCATGCGGCGGCAGCGGCGGCGCAGGTCCTAAGCTAAACACTCTATTATGTAGACGCGCGGGCGCACATACCAAATAGCTGAATTCCAAACATGGACGTCGTCGTCGTCGTCGGTTGGAAGTTGGAGCGCCGGGGGAGCGGAAAGTCACAATTTCACTTTCGCTTTTATTCGAACGGAATTAAGTGTTATGCTGTTGTATCTTTTTTTTGCTGCTGCTGCTTCGGCGGTCTTTCTTTTCCCCCTTCTTCGTATCTGTTTACGTTTCTTGTTCGTAATTTTCCCCAAGCCCCCCCCCCACCATTCTTGTGCTTGGGTCGTTTGAGTCTTAGCAGAGCTTTAGACTGGTTCGCCGAAGAGTTTGTTTTTTGTTTTTCGCTCTATCTATCCGCTTTGAATCTATTGTTAATTTTTCGAAAATTCGCCTCAACCAGCCTTCTCTTAGTTTGAGTGAATTTGCTGAAAATCAGCCGTTCATTATTCCAGCAAAACCTCGCAGCCAAGAGAAGGAAGACGTTTTTCTTCGGGCGTTCGTGTGAGACATGATGCTTCTGCTGCTGCTGCATCCGACAACTGCCGCGGGGCATTTCTTTCCTTCTATCCCCAATTCCTCCGCATCCCATCCGTGTCCCCGCGGATCGCAATGATACAAAACAAAAGGTGCGGTAATAGTTAATGAGATTTATTACGCCGTTAAAACGTTTTCTCGTGTGAATTGTGAGCTTTCCGCCGGGTGCCGCCGCGTGCGATGCACTTATTGAGATTTATGAGCTCCTGTTCAGCTGCAACGGAGTCTTTTGATTTTTCTATTGCTTCCGCCGATTGCCGCCGCCGTCGTCGTCGTCGTCGTCGCTGGATTGAAGAAGAATTTCAAAAACGGGCAATTCGTCTCATTAAAACGTCATTTAGAAGGCATCCGAAATCGATACACCACATATGTACCGTCATCTTGAGTGTGATGCTTCCGTAGACCAGTCGTCAGCGCGTTTGTGCGTGTGTGTGAGTGTACGTGTGTACCATAACCCAGGATCAGTAGAGTTTTGCCGTGTTTCTGTTTGCGTTTGCTAATTACCCGTTATAATTTTCACCAAACACATCTATAATTAATAGTAGTCTTTCTATTTTCAGGTAAATCAAGCAATAACAAAGACATCTGCGGCGATGACAAACACAAAGAGGACGGCGATCCGTGGAACGTCGAGGCACAGGCGGCGTTCCTGGGGCCGAACCTGTGGGACAAAACGCTACCCTACGACTCTGATCTCAAAGTGCACCAAGTGAGTATTGCCGTTTGCTTTAAGTTTTGATTTATTTTAACTTTATATCTGCGACTGCCTCATATTCTAGATGATCTGCCTGATTAATTTATATTCAATGGTTGATAATATGTTTTACACGGAAGGTTCTAATTATCAGCTAGAAGATTGTTGAAGAACAAGTTGAAAGAGGGCGAGTGTTTTAATTTTTATTTCAACACAACACTTTTGAAAAATGGGGCCTCAGATAGCCTAGTCAGAAAAGGCACGGTAATAACCAAGCCGAAGGTGGTGAGTTCGATTACCAGTCTGGTCTAGAATATCTTTCTAGACAGAATGTCATGTTACAAGTAAAAAAATGCGAATTTCATCACAGGTTTAAAACACTCTTCAAACCAAAATCATGGTCTTGAAGATCATGATAAACCAAAATTGTTGCTACGGTTGTCTTTGCCTCACAATGCACAAATTCATGCAATGGTTGGTATACAGGCCAACCAACAATTGGAGCGGATTAAAAGCTGTATACACATTTTTTTTCTGAATAAGTATATTTTAGCCTGAATTCAGCATCCAATTTTTACTGCGAAAGCTCTCTGGTAAGATCTGACCCTTCTTACTAATATAAATTCTGATATACTGTGATACATTACTATACATTTTCTGAAAGGTATGATGGGTTTTTGAAATAATTAAAAGCTGTCCACTTCTCTTGGGGCACCTGCAACATGTTTGGATACTGGACGGTTGAACTTTTTATTTTCTAACTATCATGGGTTTAGATCTGTTGTTGAGAGCAGTTCCGAATCGGAAAAACTCGGCCTTCTCCGATTTGCATGAACCTTTGCATAATTGTTTGCTATGGGCAATCATTAACATGTTTGCTATTTTTTTTATGGCGAATCGATTGTTATGCATACTTTTATTAAGAATTAACATTTGGCCAAGTGCCTGGAGTATATGAGGGGGTTCCTAGCAAACTACTGGAATCTATCTGTTTATTAACTTTTTGCACAGGATTTGAAACAATATGCGGTCCTCGAAAAATTTGTTCTGCCTAGTTCGGCCAATCTTAGTCTCAGATATGGACAATATTGAACAATATGTGAATTTTTGACGTTTTCCACACAGTTTCGTTTAGAAACTTTAAAGTTCTCTCGCATTTCAAATTTAGCACAGTTGTTGGGGACCTTAATAGGAATGGAAAAAAAGCAGTGGGGAACAGTAGGTAGTAGAAACTCTAGTAAAGATTATGTGGTTTTTGAAAAAGTTAAAAAGTGATAAGAATATTCGATTCACAATCATTGGTCCTTCTCTCTTGTTATGCAAGGTTTGATTTTATCGCTTAGTCATAAATATCTGACTTAGTTGATATTAGTTTTTGTACGTATTCAGTCGCTTTTCTATTTTTTTTTTCAGTTTCTGTTCCTGTTTTGATCTGCTGCAGGCTATTCCAAGCCAATTTTTTTTAAAGCTTTATTAATTAATTTCGATCCAAGTCAACATGCTGAATCAGTTACAAGGAAGAGTTTATTTTTCAAAATAATTTATTTCTACTAAATTGCACAGGAAATCCAAAATCGGCTGCTAAAAATATCGACTTTTTGAATCAGCATATCACAGAAAATGCACTTTAAAGTACCATCGCTGGTTGCTGCAGTAAAACTTATTTCACTATGCATTATAGAACTAAGCGTCTTTGACACTAAAACGTCACTTCTGATTGAAATGATGTCCGAGACAAAGTTGAAGTGAATAATAGGGTTTTTGATCTAATTTCCGTTCTACTAAGCACAACCCCCTCTTAACTTCTCTCTATTGAACTGGATTTAACAATAAATTAATTGTTTCTGCCAAAGATGACTTCGAAGTTTATTCACTTTTCCATAAATATCGTTGAATTTGTTAAAGAGCCACACATTGTTGAGATATTGTTAAAAATCTAACACTGCTTCTTGATTCCAAATTCGTCCTACGAGTTTCAATTCTGTCCAAACGAATTGAAACGCAATTGTATTTTTTTCGTCCTATGGATGAATGTAGAAAAAGCGAGTTCGCTAGGAGCGCTTCTTTTGTTTTGAGAACAATGAGTGTAAATATTCAAACAATACGCTCTAGTAGGCTTTTTTTCTCTGTTCGGGACCTTACACCACTGCGACCAGTAATTTGATCTATTGTAGTATATCCCGTGTCCTTAGTTTAGTGCATGTCGTATTATTCCATTACTATTGAGAAATGATGAAGTATTCAATTTTTTTAAGTTGTCATTCTTGCATTTATCGCAAGGATCCGACTCTAACTGAAAGGTGACGCTATTTGTACCCTTCGAAGTGTGCGCCCTTTGTCAGTCAAAATTAGATTCCTTAGCAACAAAATTAAGGAATGACACCGATAATGACCATGCATCAGAACCCTAGTATTAACCACTTCAAACTAGGGAACAACGAATAGAAGATTAGGAATCACATATATGAAGACTATACACTTAGAAATACCTAATCTTACGCGTGATGGAATCCATCTTTTACATAAAGATAAATATGTCATGTAAAATTAAGTGCTTCGAGACTGAACAGCTCAAAAATACGTTTGATTGAGCCGAATTTCACGTCTATTATGACTCAATTTTATGTCCAAATTGACGCTCGTATATGCCAGTCTCAGAGCACCTAAATTTACATTATTTATTCTAAGTGTGTAACTAACTCATTTTTTCCTTGTTTCAAGATCATCCTCGGTGGACAAAGCTGAGTCTTGTCACTATCAGCAAGGCATAAAAAGTAACAGGGACTAAGATGTGTTCCTTGGATAACTGAAAAATCCAGTTCCCCTAGTTTGAAGTAGTCAGGACTAGGAATCGGTGGTAGATCTTACATCCCGTAACGAACCACGGAAAGGGTATCTACCCACGTTACGGATAACTTTTAGGAATGTACGAATCGGGTTGAACATCTCTCTTTACCAAACTCCCCAGTTTGGAGAGGGATGGTGAGGGGTATCGCATTTTTTAAAACGTGGCCAATTGTAAATTTTCAGTGGTTATTTGTGGGAAAAATGAAAGCCAAATTACAGAAAGTGTTTTCTAAAGCTATAGGAAAAATTCAACTCTATGAGCCACTAAATGTATTCAAAACAATTTATTGATCTTTCGAGATACTTTGATAAATCGAATTCTACCACTTTTTATGATCGATACATCTTATGATTCAAGCCCTAGAATTTATTGAGTGACAGAGATTAAGATTACTGGGCCAAATGCTATCTGGATGAATAGTTTATATAATAGGTGAATTGGGCAGAATAAGAGATTTAATTACAAAAAAATGTTTCAGAAAAATGAACTTGGTACAAATGCGAATAAGAGCAAATTGATAGTGATACCGGATAAAGAAGATGTGTATTCACTGAAAGATTATTTACTAAAAAGATAGATTCCAAAGATTCTGGGGCTTTGAAATTTGTGTAGGGTCTGAAAATTGAACTTTCTTCAAAATTTGGGATTAATAACAATCTTCGTGATGCAAGATTTGGAGAAAAATAGTTACAATGTGAGAGTATAAAAATTTTCCAAAATCACTGATTTGAAAAAAAAAATCATATTTATTAAATAGTAGTCCTAGTCATAATTGTCAAGGCTCTGAGACTTGGAAATATTTTAAGAGTTAAAACAAATTACAGAACAATCGATAGAATCTTGCGGACAAACCCTGGAATTTTCAACACTAAGCCACTGTTGAAATAAATTTGTGGCGATTTACTGTGTAAAGATACAAGTTCCCCTAAGTCCAAAAGCCTTGAAAATTTCCTGGGACAAAAAATCTAGATTTTCTTCTTTTGAAAATTGACGATCGAGGAAATGTTTCATAATTCGACCATTTCTAACAGGCATGAGCTTATTTATTTTCCTGGAGAAAATCCCAGAACAAATTATCTGCAAATTTTGATGCAGAAGTTTCTTTTTCTAGCTTCTAGACCTTTAAAAATGTTAAAAATTCTTAAAATTTAATTCTTCACTGAATTACAATGGGATATTGAATTGGGTTTCTCCCCTATGGACATACCGCTGGCTACTCCCATGGATTAAATGTCAATAGAATAAATTTCGTGAAAAAGTTCCAAGTAGAAAAAGTATATTCCCGTACTTGCTTTTATAATTTTGCGTAGCATTTTGATGTCTTGCACAATGTTTCGTCATTTTTTAGTTTTTTTTTATTTGAGTAATGAAAAGGTTTGCTTAAGGGGGGTAAAGTTGTCCCACCTTAATGCACATCCTTGCAAAAATGGTCATGAAAACAGCAAAACGTAACACAACATTGAGGTACTGTATTTGAAAATTAACTAGACATCCTCCCCCTATGAAATGTCTATGTAACAGTAGGGTATAATTTGCTGATCGAAATGACGTTGAGATTAGCTGCTACTTGGATTAGGGCCACTTGGTAAAATAAAGAACTGGATCAGCAAATATGCTAGAAATTTTTCTTCAATCTTGCTCCAACAAGAAAGTAAGATGAATGAGTATAATTTAAATGAGAACCACCCTTGATAATAAAAAAGTAAGAGGTTGTATCCAAGACACGCCCGTAGATTTAACGTACGTTATCAATAATCAGGGATATCAGGGATAATGTTGTTTGGAACGAGGGTGACGCGCTTGGCATAGATGGCCCACAGCACCTCACGAAGAGCTACTGAATCCGATCAGTAGCGGTGCGGCATCTTGATCCTTCTTCGGTGCATGGACGCTGGCTGCTTTCGGGCAGCCTTTCGTAGTGTTCTGGAGAACAATGTTCAACGCCACGCACTGAAAGTACTGCTGCTGCTGCAAAAGTAGACCGACCGTACACCACCACACACGGTGATTGAATAAACACCGTTCGGCGAGACCAGATGGAATTCGATTTTGAAATCTGTGTTAAGGAAACGATCGGTGATAATTGTGATCATCATTGCAACAGTTGGACATTTGTGTAATTTTCAATAGTGACCTTAAAATTGATAAAGTTTTTGTTTACGAAGAT